TTTTTCTGGTGTTGGAAGCCGGCAAAGAGCGGATGCTGAAGGCCAGGCTTTGCTGCAGCTCTCCAGGGTAGTCTGTGCCCCTTCCCTCCTCAGATGGAGGAGCCAGGTGTTATTACTTCATGACAAAAATAGTAGATCTGTTTGGTAAGCTTCGTGGTGTGAAATACTAGGCAGCAGTAGATCTATAAAAATGGCTATGAATAAAAGCAATGGAAGAAAGTAACTGACAGGTTTCATGATTTTTAATTAGGATCATTAAGTGTCACACCAAGACAAAGCATAAAACAATTACATTTTTACTTTGTTGCCGCAAAACACAGCAAAAGGACAGTTAGTAGAACTACTTAAAAGCAAATTTTTTTTTTTTGGTGGTAGTATCTAGGCATCCCTTTTTTGTGATTTTCCTCCACACCATCGTTTCACTGGAGAGCTGTATTCTTACTCATCATGGCATAAGGACAAAATTCTCACTTTTTTAAAAGGAAGGAGGCTTGGTCTGTATGTATTCATCCTACAGATAAATTATTCCAGTGTTCCTTTAAAGCAGTGAAATGATCTCGAGGCGGATCTTTTCAACAAAATGTTAAGTTGACCCTATGCAGCAATCTGATCTGAAGCAATAGCAGGAGCTGTCATGCCAAAATCTGATCCATGATGCTGTTCAGAAACACCAGTTATATTGGGCTGAAGTTAATACTTGAGAGTTTTGGAGGGTTGCCTTGCATAGAGAACAGGAAAGAAAGAAAAAGGAGACTGGTTTGCATGCCATGTCTGATCTTGTCTTACAGTGCTTCTCATGAACTTCAGATGGTCAAAACTAAAAGGTATCCCCTGTTTTGTTTGTATTAAGATTATGGGAAGAGGTTAGAATGAAAAGGCACGCAACAGCTGATGTTAGGGGAGGTCATGTTTCCTGCTTTAGAATTATGTGTTACTGTCTGTAGCTCAGTTTAAGGTCAACCAAAAGGCAGCAAGACTGTTTTTGCTGTGCCTTGAAAAAAAATCCGCAGAGGTCCGGATGCAACTTGAAGCCAAAATCTGATTTTGTTCATGCTGGTTATATAAGTTACAGATACTACCAAGCTATATACAGAATTGCTCTTGTGTTTTATTTTATACGTGATGCCTACTGAACTTACGTGCAGCTTGCTTTGAATCACTCAGTGTAATGAACAGAGATGTGTTTGTTTCTTTGAAATCTACTTCTGTGCATCACAAAAATACCTCATTACTTTGTTTCCGCTCACTCACTCTCAACTAAAGTAAATAGCATGGATGAAAGAAGAAATGAAAGTAAATCTATGTCTTACCGATTCAAGGAGTTTTCATCACAGAAGTCTCATTTATACCTGCTTGAGAAAGCAGCAAGGTGCAATTGTTCAAGTTTTGTGTTTTAAGAACTTTGCATGCATTACTCATGTGTTCTTCAGGCAAGGCTTGCATCCTGATTGTACATGGATTTGTGAAATACAGTGGCCTTGGAGTTGCCAGTTTGTTATTCTATGAACAGCGATTTTAGGGGTAACTCTGGGGGAAATAAAACTAAAACAACAAAACCAAACAACCCAAACTGAGCAGTAAACACACCTGAAAGAAAAAAACGGAGTATTTAAAGAGGGCAATTTACTATTTTTACAGAAACTAGTTGTCCTGCTTATTAAGTGAGGCTGTGACGGGCCTGTAATATCCTGTCATGGAGCACAAATTTCCAGGTGGTCAGCAAATGCTGCAGCTCTTCAGTAACTGTTTTTTAAAACTGCTTCCCTGTTGCCATTGACTGATTAGCATCCAAACTGTGTCAGATCAGGATCTTCTATTTGTAGACTTTCTGACAATTTTTGCTGGAGTATCTCCTGCCCAAACAGATTTGCTTCTGCAACTATTTTGTGAGAGGGGAAGTTTTACTTACTCTCTTTTCCAGTGGAGAAATGGAGACAGCATTTCTAACACCACAAGTTTTATATCTGCTTCCTTTCTGGAACTCCCTGCTCTCCCCAGCCTTGCCTACCTGCTTTCCACAACTTCTGCTGTGGTATCAGATAAAAATCTATCTTGAAGGCAATTCATCTTTGGAGTAAAGCAAACCCCAGATACCTCTGGAACATTCAAAGTCAGGGAACAAAAATCTTTACTTTGAAATAGTATCTAAATCAGTGGTGTATAAGATTATGCATAAGCAGAAAGTATTTAATATAATAGATCCTAATTTCTCCAAACACATTAATGTCTTTAGTTATCTTTATATACTGTCTTCAGAAGCAAAACGTTTTCTTCTTATGCATTCATATTTACAGCAATTCTATGGAAATTAGTTAAATTAGCAAGTAAAAGTTATCTCTGCTGGGACCCCACTGAAGTCAAATGACTCCCAAGCCAGAAAGGATTTGGTCTTTTTTCAATGACAACACCAAATGTGACTTGCAAAAGGCTGTTTGTATTCCCTAGGGAGAAAATTCATTGTTTATGTGTTATTGATAATAGAAAGAGGCCTAAGAATAACATCATGGTTTCCAGAAAAGCTGACTTTCAGAGGTGACAGGATTATGACTTCTTTAACTCATCCAATGTTCACACAATTACTGATTTTTCTAGTATGTGCGCTTCAGTCAGTTGAGTAAGGAGAACTCAGCTAGAAGAAAAGAAGGACAGAATTAGTCTCATGGCACTCACAGCTATTCATTCAAAAGAAACTGCAAATGAAACTTTCTCTGGCTCTAGGTAACTGCAAAGTCACTTTGACAATGTCATAAAAACTGATAAGGATCTGAAATCCTGATTCTAGTTGTTTAGAAAATAGAGGAATGCTCTTTAGAAGATACTGTGTAGAAAACTATTGCAATAATAATAAGCATGGTATTTATTTTTGTATAAACTTTTGTGGTTCTTGAAGCCTGTGGATATGTATTTCAGGGTTCTTCCTGGAGTCTTGTTTTTTTTGGATGGGTAATGGAAGCTGGACAGGGTGGAGGGAATAGAAGGGAATTCAGCAAGGCTGCAGAAAGTATATCTTGCTAAGACTGAGTCAGTTGCAGGATATTATGTCCTGCTGCAGATTTAACTCTTGTTTTCTGTATCTCACACAATGCTTTTTTATTGGCATTTCACTAAGAAAAAGTATTGCATTAATAGTGCAGATTGTCTTCTTGCTATACTAAGCCAGCTCTTCAGCAGGGTAGATTGTTTTGTGAATTTGATAAAGAAAAAAACCTCCATATTTCCTTCATTTCCATTTAGCAAGGTAAATTGAATTGAAAAGGAAAGCATTCTTTAAAAATCTTCTAAAACTATTTTTTCTCATGCAACTTCTAGCAGAACTTGAAAACATTTCTAGTAAGAGCCTACAGAAATACCACTTGCCATCTAGCAGCGTTGAACCATTCATCTTGGTACCTTTAAAATTGTATTTAACACTTTCAGTTTGCAACTAGGCACATTCATTTTGTCAGGTTATGACCCTGAATGATGGCCATCGTCACAGCTTATTTTGAAGCTCTGAATGGAGCTAATTTGAGATTTACTGTGCATGCAAGAAGAAACCAAAAATGTTTGGAGGCTGATGTTAACTGAAAGTGAATCCGTTTATTCTTTATTCTGACGAAAATTCAGGAAAGCAAATGTGTGCATTGTTCCTAAGTGCACTTGAGGAGGCCAGAACCATTTCCACATGTTATAAACCAAAACAGAAATAAGAGAGTACATCTCTTGGATTGGGTGGGGTAGGTTTTAATTCAGAATTTTAATTCAGGCTGGTTATTTCATTTTCAGCTAAAGAACTAGTTTATCACAAGTGCTATCATAGAAAAAAGTGAAGAATAAAAAAGATATCTTGCTCTTGATTGGATTTTCAGGTTAATGTATTACCTCATCTATTTGTATATAAAGTTTAACTGTTCTTCTAATCACAAACAGGATTCTGGTTTAGTTTTGTTCTGTTTGTGGGTAAGGAGAAGTGTTTACAGAGAGGCATTTGAAGGGAAGTTGGCAAGCTTTTAAATATATAATCACTTCAAGGTAATATAAGGATGGTGGGCTAGTATTAAAAAAGGAGATTTTATTCTAAACCTGCTAGAGTCAAACCACTGCTGTGTTTCCTGAGAAAAGTCTGTACAAATTCCCACCTGGCTATATATCATTGCTCTAAGGACTCTGAGCCATGATGATTCAGAACGTCATTTCTAGTGAGTAAGGAAAAGAGGGATTTTTTTAAAAAACATGATGTTATTTTCCTAACCTTTCTATATACTAAGCTAATACTAGTTTTCTTTGCTGAAAGTGTTTTAGCTGACTTTTAATTTTGCACTTTGAAACCCCATGTAAAACCTTGCAGTGTGAAAAAGTTGTGCAAGTTTGCTGAATTGGAAATTATACTATTCCTTGGGCAGCTCCCCTGAGCACGTCCAGGCCTTTGTGCTGTCCAGAGAATTAGTATACGTGGCATGTATTTGCCAATGTAAAGCCTTAATTTGTGCAAGAACTCTGGGATCTTTGTGTTCTGACATTCATGATTCATTGGCCAGCGTGTCAGGCAATTCCAGTGCTTTCAAGATGCTTGCAGCGTCGTGTACCGTTTCTAATAGAAAATATGTGCACCATAGTTTCAGAATGTAATGCAGAAAGTGGTGAAAGAGCTCTGATTCATAGTTGTACAAGCAGCCTTTTATTAACCAGCATCTGTGCTGTATCCTGTTTCCTTAATATTTACTTATGAATGGGAAAGTTTACAACTTACAGCAGTTTCAATGGCTGTGGGGCTCAGGTGTTCTCTCAGCACAGCATAAACGCTTGGAGACATTGGAAGAAGATCTGATGGAGAATGTGGTTCTGTAGAGTCATTTAAGCTAAAAAGAAAAAAACAAAAGCAAAGAAAAATATGCAAAAATAATCTTAGAACTTGAATCCCTCTATGCATGTCAGTGGAGTATGATGAATGTTTTTTAAATTTGTTAACCCTGTCCTCAGGCTTGCTTGTGGCCCTGTAAGCTCATGCCAATAACCTGGTATACACTTAAAAATGTAAGCGATTGAGTCAGGTTTGTCCTCTTTCCTTGCCCCTAATATCAGCTGCTGGGGAAAAAAGGAAACAGCGAAAGAAAAGTAGATCAGAGTACCATAAAATCTGCATTTGATTTTTACAAATAGTTTGCCCCATGAATGGAAAAAGCACTCTACAGTTGAAGTCCTTTACTTCTTTTTCTTGTCTTTAGCAGTCTTTGCAAAACTATTTTCAAATAGTTTGGGGAAAGGAGGCAGGGGAAATCCTGAAATAGGATGTAAATTAGACAAATGTCCAGTCTGGATGAGCAATGAGATTTTGAAAGAACTTAGAAATAAAAAAAAAGATGTATCATCTCTTCAGGAAGTATTTAAGGGAATTGCTAGGGCATGTAGAAAAAAGAAAATTAGGGAAGCCAAAGCTCAGTTTGAACTTGGCAACTTCTGTTAAAAAAAATAAAAAAAGTTTTTACAAATATATTAATATTAAAAGGAAGGATATAACTGAGCTCTGTTCCTTATTGGATGAGGCAGGCAACCTAGTAACTAAAGATGAGGAAAAGGTGGAAATGCTTAATGCCTTCTTCACCTCAGTCTTTAGTGGTAAGGCAGCTTGTCCTTAAGCCAGCTGTCCTCAGGGGTTTGTAGGTGGTGTCAGGGAGCAGAATGGTCCTCTTGTTATCCAAGAAGAGGCAGTCAGAGAACTTCTGGGACACTTGGATATTTATAAATCAATGGGACCAGATGGGATCCACCCTAGGGTGATGAGGGGAGCTGGCAGATGAGCTTGCCAAGCCGCCCTCCATCATTTATCAAGACTTGTGGCTCACTGGTGAGGTCCCAGATGACTGGAAACTGGCCAGTGTGACACCCTTTTATAAAAAAGGTAGGAAGGAGGATCCTGGTAATTACAGGCCAGTTAGCCTGGCCTCAGTACCAGGTAAGATAATGGAACAGTTCATACTGAGTGCTATCACACAACACTTTCAGGAAGGCCAGGGTATCAGACCCAGCCAGCAGGGGGTTTATGAAGGGTAGGTCATGTCTGACCAACCTGGTCTCTCTTTATGACCAGGCACCTGCCTGGTAGACGCAGGACAGGCTGTGGATGTGTCTATTTAGACTTCAGCAAGGCCTTTGACACTGTCTCTCACAGCACACCTGGAGAAGCTGGCAGCCCATGGCTTGGAAAGGAGCACTTTGTGCTGGGTTAGGAACTGGCTGGATGGCTGGGCCCAGAGAGTGCTGGTGAACAGTGCTGCATCCAGCTGGGGACAATCACCAGTGGTGTCCCTCAGGGGTCTGTGCTGGGACCAGTTCTATTTAATGTTTTTATTGATGACATGGATGAGGGCATTGAGTCCTTCATTAGTAAATTTGCAGATGACACTAAGCTGGGAGCTTGTGTTGATCTATTGGAAGGAAGGAGGGCTCTGCAGAGAGACTTAGATTGGTTGGATGGATGGGCAGAGTCCAACAGCATGAAGTTTAATAAGTCTAAGTGCCGAGTTCTACATTTTGGCCCAAAAATCCCCTACAATGTTACAAGCTAAGGACAGTGTGGCTGGACAGTGTTCAGTGGAAAGGGACCTGAGGGTGCTGGTGCTGGATATGAGCCAGCAATGTGCCTTGGTGGCCAAGAAGGCCAATGGCACCTGGCCTGCATTAGGAATTGTGTGACCAGCAGGAGCAGGGAGGTCATTCTTCCCCTGTACTCGATGCTGGTGAGGCCACACCTTAAGTGCTCTGTGCAGTTCTGGTCCCCTCAGTTTGGGAAGGACATTTAGGTGCTTGAGTGCATCCAGAGGAGGGCAATGAGCCTGGTGAGGGGCTTGGAACACAAGCCCGGTGAGGAACATTTGAAGGAACTGGGGTTGTTTAGCCTGGAGAAGAGAAGGCTTAGGGGTGACCTTATTGCTCTCTACAACTTCCTGAAGGGAGCTTGCAGACAGGTTGGGGCCGGTCTCTTCCACCAGGCAGCACCTGACAGAACAAGAGGCCGCAGTCTCAAGCTACATCAGGAAAGGTATAGGTTGGATGTCAGGAAAAAGTTTTTCACCAAAATAATAATAAAGTACAGGAATTGTCTTCCCAGGGAGGTGGTAGAATTACCATCTCTAGATGTGTTTAAAAAAGACTGGATGTGGCATTTGGTGCTATAGTCTAATTGAGGTGTTAGGGCATAGGTTGGACTTGATTATTTTAGAGGTCTCTTCCAATCTCATTATTCTGTGATTCTATAAATTAAATAAAAATAACAGTTGAAGTGTAACATACCTGTGAGGATACTTACATTTTGGAGACTGGGATAAATACAGAAGGAACATAACCTTTCCCTCCTCCATCCGAGGGTTTTGAGACTAGAATAAATAGTAGAGAAGTTAAATATTGTGTAGTCATTTTATTATCTATTTGAAATGGATTATTTGCTTGCACTACTGCAGACAATAATAAATTGGGAAGTCCCTGCAAAAATAAATAGTCATGAAAGTGAGGGGAATTCCTGAGATTAGTCCTTGAGTTCAGATCTTAGTCACAGAATTGCCTGTGCTCCCTTGATATGAATCACAATATCATACTGCAACTGATGAAAGAAATTTCGTTAGGCCTTCAAAGCAAGTATACAATTCTTTAAGTTTGGTACTCTGAGCCTGCAGATTTCAATTCTGCAAATGCTTTGAGCTCTGTCTCTATAGATATAGCTTCAGCCATGTATTTTGAATTCTAATTCTTTTGCACAAAATTAAGCCTATATGTAAGATTTTAGATGATTGGAGCATTAGGCAAAGTGCACCGAGTTAAAATGAAGAGGGAGAAAAATACTGTAGCCTCCAAATATCTTTGAGTTGTGTTGGAATTTGAGTTCAAATGGAATTGTAACCTTTGATACTGAAATTCTAGAAGAATGTGTTTTATCTATTAAAAAATTAAGGCTTAGAGGCTTTCTTTAAGTGAGAATGAATTTGATCTAAAAATGACCTGACTTGTAACTTGGACAAAAAAGAACATGAGCCTGAACATATTTGAAACCATCCTTGTTTAGCCTTTTTGAATTTTCCAGTGCAGTTGACAAAGGTTTTCAGAAAGATTGTCTGCCATAATAACTTTGTAATTGTGCATATATTGGGAAAAGGTGGTGCAGATAAACAGCCTTTTTTTAGGGTTCCATTGCATGAAATGAAACCAAGTAGGGGTTCCAAGCTGTTTGGGAAATACTGAGTTTTCTTGAAATTAAAGCGACAACATGCTACAGTGTAACAGAACTATGCAGTCAATAACCAGGATGACTTTTCACTTTCTATTAAACACCCAAGCACTGAATTTTGTGGTACATCAGTCAGGGAAAAAAAAAAATCAATTTCTTAGCTTTTTTTGAATATTGTCATCACCTCTAATGTAACCTCTAAGACTAGAGCTGTATTTGCAAAATGAAGCTGTCTAAATGACAGACACATGTTAAAACAGTTCTCTTGAAGATGACTATTAAAGGAGGCATCTTAATCTGTTCTCTCCCTCCTCTCCCTACAGTCCTCAAATTGCCTCTTGACTTTGCAGCTGCTGTGCAGGAAGGGTTAATAGAGAAATGGAGCCTATACCTTCGTTTGGCTGACAGCTGTAGTGTTTGCCAAAGGCCTTATCTTTGGGGATATCTGGATACAGGTACTTCAGGGGGTTTTCAGGAACATTGTCTGCCATGATAACTTTGTAATCGCGCAGTATGTCGGCAAAAGGCAGGGCAGATAAGCGACCTTTGTTGTAGGGCTCCACCGAATGAAATGTTACATCTCCTGCAAAAACACAAAGGCACCATAACTTGTAGATGAGCAGCTGCAGCTGGAGCACATTTTTGCCTTTCCTTTGAGGTTTACACTTGTATAGGCATTACCTGTTTTACCTATGTTAGTACCTTTCAGTATTTAATTTCTGCATATTTGGAAACAAATCTAAAGCCTGCAGTTAGCAGGTACACTTCATAGAGAGCTTTGTTAATGTAAAGAGCTCAGAATGTCAGAGTTTTGGTTTGTGTTTGAGAAATTATGACACTTGTATCTTGTCCAAAACCATACTATGACATGATACATGTAAATCTTACTTTCAAATCAAACAAAACTTCACTCCTGTACTGCAGGCATATTGCAGAGTTTGGGTTAGTTTTGATTTAGTTGTTGGCTTGTTTTTTTTTTAATTTAATTATACTTACCATTTTCTAGCTGATCCACCCAAGTAAAGGTAATTCCACCCAGATTGCTCTCACTAAACCTTAATAAAAATGTTCCTGGTGTCTTGTCTTTCAGCAGAATTCGTTCCTTTTCTTTGCTTACAAATCCCATTATGTACCTGAAGTATAACAGGAAATCATGGGTTTACTTTTGGAAAAAAATAGAGACTTTAATCTGTACAATATGTAGAATCATAGAAGGGCCTGGGTTGGAAGGGACCTTAAAGTTCACCTGGTTCCAAACCCCCTGTTGTGGACAGGGACATCTTTCACCAGACCACGTTGCTCAGAACTATTCAGCCTGGCCTTGATCTGGCCAGGCTTTATGCAGGTGTTCAAAACCTGGTTACAAAGCTTTATGAGGCTTGGGTACTATGACCAAGGCTTTGTGTGATGACACATTTCCATGTGTATGGCATTGAGCTCAAAGTACTATGAAGCCTGGTGAAATTTATCCTAGTGCTTGATTGCATGGACAGAACTGAAGAATAGATCTAAACCTGCCTTTCTAAGAGATGCCATGTTGTTCCCCTTTGGCAGCAATTTCCAAAAGTTATGAATGGGAGAAGGGAGACAGAAGTGTTAAACTCATTGCAAATACTTCTCTTCATGGCTAAAACTGATATGAGTAAAGGACAGAGAAAATGTGGAGAGAGATCAATATACAGCAGTTCCCTTTTTGCTCACCCATCAATCCAAAGAGGAAGAATGTGTTTTTTAATCAAGTCCAGGATTGCTTCAAGCCAAACCCAAAAGGTAAAAGACTTCCCAGGCAAATGTTCCTAACAGTTAAAAAAACAACCACAAAACACAAACAAAACCCCACAACCAACCCCCACACAAACAACCACAAACATAAACAACACACATGAGAGGAGAATCATGAGAGTGATGTTACCCAATACTTCTGACAGTTTCTTCTCAGTTTCTTAACAATAAACTACTTTTCTCAAGTGAAAATCACAATTTGAGCTGTGGTTTTGAGTAACATCCCTCTTTCAACCTGACATAAAACCAACTGATTTTTAAGATATGCATTTTTCAAGGAGAATAAAAATCACATCTGTGGTTTCTTCCTAGTTACAAATTTGTATTTTGAGTGAAAAGAAGATGAGAAAGTTGAACTTCCCTCCAAGGTTCTGCACTTGTTTAAATAACGTAGTTAGTATAAATTAAAGGAGCTTGCCCTTCTTTATCAATATATTCTCTGTTCCTCATCAAAGTTATTGCATATATTGACTGTCTTGAAATAATTTAGGTCAAAAACTAAACATATGAAAAATCTTACTTACTCTTTATGAAAAATGTATTGCATGCCTTGGTAAGACTTTCAATTAATCATATACAGAAATATATAAGGCACACTGTAATGGCAGTTTCTGATATCTGTAGCAATATAACTAGAGTAGATCCCTAACCTCAAGCTTTATGATTCTGGAGTGTTTTCTCCCTAGTTAAATTTTTACAAAGGATGTGATTATGCTGAGCTGAAAGTGCCACATATGGCAAGTAGGAATCTTAGCAGCAGCATCAGAGAAACAAAGATAGGCATGGCTGTGGGTGTTATGAGAAATAAGAGTTTAGTGTTACTTTTGGAACAGTACCTTGCAGAACTTTGCCCAGGATAGTTGATAATCATTGTAACTGACTTGCTGTCCTGAAAGAGGGGGGAAAAAAAAGCCCAAATAGTACATGTATTATTCTGAAGTTATGAAATAGATATTGCTTGATATCTGTATAGTTGCGTGGGGGGGTGAGGGGAGAAGTACAATACATCCTGACTCGGGGAGGGGCATGCAAGGGACTGTAGATCTGGTTTTCTGTATTCTTTTGAAGCAGGTGAGAATAGTTTTGTATATACTTGCGTAAAGTAGCCGGTGACTTGGTTTTTGCAACACTATGTGCTCAGTTTCAGTTTTTAGCCTAAATGTTACTTCTCAGCTTTCCCCAGGGCCTCTCCCTTGTGGGGCACACTTGGGTCTCAGAGTACTCAGTAGTTCATCTTGCTGAGGTTACAGGGCCTCTTTGCTGTGCTGACACCAGTGAAGTATCTCTGGTCAGGTCCCAGAAATGAACGAACCCACAAGGACAGGTACTTAAAATGAAAAAAAAAACCCAAACCAAACCTCCTAAGCAAGCAAAAATACTTCCTTTTGATTTCAGATGTATGAGATAATTGTTAAGAAACCAAACCAAATTACAGTTCAGTGTGACTTTGATGCCCTCTTCCTTCGGTTGAGCAGCCTGGAAGTTCGAAAGTTGAAATACTCTGTGATAAGAATAAGCTGACATTTGCTTTTCTTTAAAGAAAAAAATTGTCATTGTGACATTTTTAACATCAGCTCTGGAAGTGGAGGTCATGCCATGCTGATTTTGGCTGGGGTGGAGTTCATTTTCTTCACAGTAGCCAGCGTGTTTTGGATTTGTGCTGGGAACAGTGTTGGTAATACAGGGATGTTTTAGTTCTTGCCAAGGAGGGCTTACACACAGTGAAGGTCTTTTCTGCCTCTCAACCCTCCCATGAGCAAAGGGGCTGGGAATGCTGGAAGCTGGGAGAGGACACAGCTAGGACAGCTGATCTTAACTGGCCAAAAGGATATTCTGCACCATATGGTGGCATGCTCAGCATGTCAACTTAGGGGTAAGAAGGAGGAAGGAGGGGATGTTTGGGGCGATGGCATCAGTCTTCCCAAGTAACTCCTTTGTGTGATGAATCCAGCCCTGATTTCCAGGCTGAACACTTGCCTGCAGATGGGGAAGTAGTGAATTAATTCCTTGTTTGCCTTGTGTGCATGTGTGGCTTTTGCTTTGTGTGTTAAACTGTCTTTAGCTTGACCCATGAGTTTTCTCACTTTACCCTTCCAATTCTCTCCCCATCTCACTCTGGGGGATTGGGTGGCTGTGTGGGGCATAGCTGTCAGCTGGTACTAAATGTGTATTTCAAGTCCCTACCTGTAACTACCAAATATAAGAACCCCAAAGCAAATAAAATCTGTATATTTCTATACACTTACCCACAAGTTTCTCTGCCAGCATGTTGAGCTGTTCAGAATTGAGTCCACGACCAACGTATGATGAGAATTGCCAGCTCAGTACTTCTAAGAGCTGGCTTAAAGTGGCAGCAGGAGGGTTGTTGAAGAAAGACAAATTCTGCAACAGGTGAATGCTTTGTTTAGCTAGCAACCATGAAATACATATCGGGCTGTAAGAGGAGGCTGCAAGTACTTGAGCAGAATCTAGAAGTGTTGAAAGTGAGCTCTGTGTGTGGGGAAGCACTGGGGCAAACGTGTGGGCCCTCCCACCTGCAGCGCCCAGCAAGCTCCAGTGGAGTGCCTGAGTGGGGTTGTAGGATGAGACTCCTAGAGACAGCTACAGTCCCTGTGTGCAACTTGGATGTTAAAATACCTAGCTATGCCTCTGGTAGTGTCCTGTGTAAAGACAGTGAAAATATGTGGCAGCTTAAATCTTGTCCGAAAAAAAATTCTAGACATTATCACTATATTTTAATGTTTAGTGCATAGAAACTTTAAACCATTACATACTGATATGGTGATATGCTGTTGAATCATTTGGCTTATCTTAGTTTTTAAATTTTTTTTTTTTTTGATTGTACACACAATGGACATACTGAAGACTGTGCAAAAACTCTTTGGAGTATCACTGACTGATAATGAAGTCCAGCCTGCTGGTCAGCTTGCCTGCCACCATGGCAGACTGTCTGCCCCTTTCCCTACTCTGAGCATCTGTGTGACTGCACTAATCCCCAGCTGAAAGCCTGAGAGCCACTGACAGCCCTGTTCTACAGTCTGCAAATACAGTAACAGTGACTGAATATAAAATATGTGCTGACACAGCTGGAGCCTTAGAAAGAATGATTCTGCCTTTGCTCAGGGTTAGAGCCAATAGAAGTTGCTACTTAACATTTATAATCTCCACAGAAAGCCCAAGTTCCTATAAAATCCAATGGGGGAAAGCAGCCCTTAAGTACATTACAGCTTCACCTATATGCTTGATTTCATGGTTTGGAGTTGTACTGGTAGAATTATTTTCTAACAGGTCTAGTTTTAGTCAGCCACACACAAGAAAGATAAATTAAAACTAGTGAAGTTAGAGAAGTTATGAAGAATGCTTGTCACCTTTCCTTAGTTTAAGAACTACTACTTTAGGCTACAAAAAGAAAAGCTAAGGGTACATGTGGTTTTAGATCTGGGCAGGGGAAGAAAGATAAAGAGAACAACAATAAAGTGCGATGTAGATAACTGTGTACGTGACAAAAATAAGGCCAGTTCAAAAGAGAAATAAATCTTTTTTACACTTAATGTATTTAGTAACCAAATAATACAAATGTGAAAATGCAGAAAGTCAGTATTTGCATACTGAGGACCTACCTGAGGATCATTGGTTGACAGGTTGTACCAAATAATAGAGGCCCATGCGTTGGGCAGTTGGCTGACATTGGAAATCATCACCACAGGCAAAGAGCTGGTCTGGTGGAGAGAATGAATGTCCTGTGTAAATGCTGCTGAGGAAAGTATTAGTGCTGTGCTGTGCTTTGGGTTTTTAACCTCTCATTCTTCCCAAAGCACAGACTTTTCTTCCAGAAGTTCTGGAAATATTGTGTCAGCTTGTGGTTACTGCTGGGGGCCTCACGGAGGGTAGGCAGACCTGTGGTGTGGCCCAGCACAGTTGTACTTCTATAAACTGCTGGAAAATGGCTTTTTCTCCTGCCCCAGATAATCTGTCCTGAATACTCACTTCCAAATTTATGGTCAATCCATACAGGCAGACCTGTGTTTCAAAGCTGATGGAGTGCAGTTCCTCTGTCACCATGTGAGGGCCCTGAGGGAATAACAAGGTTATAAAGCTGGGAGTGCACAGCTGGCATTTAACACTGTTTTAGTGATCCAGCTGCTGAGGTGACACTTGGAGAGAAAACTCACATCAAATGTATAAGCAGAACAGGAAAAGAAGGAAGTGAAGGAAACAATTTGTTTGTTCAACTCTGACATTAAATTAGTACAGAAGTCTGGTATTTTTTCTGATGAATATAAAATAACACCTTAATATTGTTAAAACAGTACTTCTTAACTTATATATTTTTCTAAAATTGTACTTTTAAACACAGATTTACATACAAGATGTTAACAGGTAATTTTGTGTGTCTGATAAAGGATGTCTCCAACTTTCCTTTTCCTAAAGTTTCCTTGCTGATTGACAATTGGACTTTGAACAGGTATGTTCAACTTCAATGAGAAACAAACTAGAAACAAAGCAAATAGCCACAGCCTTAATGACAAATAGGCCTTCATCCAGGTTTGCTGTGGGTACTAGTTGAAGGACTAGAGGCCTAAATCATTAAGCCAAAGGAAATCCGGTATTAAAATCCCAAGCTTTTCTTGGATAGAAAAAAACTAAAATCTGTTTGTCATTGTTGATTAAAGTTTGTAGTATTAGCGTTTGATTTGATTACAAAGCAGCATAGCTCTGTAAAGATCCTAATCTCTGCCCCTTAGGAAACAGATTTCTTGAAATACATTTCCATCCTTAGAGCTCAAAGTGTAAAAATATATTTGCTCTTTCCCAGTTTTCATTGTTGTTGGTCTTTCCCTCCTCATCATGCATTTGTCATATCAGACTTTTCTTTTAAAGAAAAATTAAAATTACAAATCAAAATGCTTTCCCTTACTGAAATATCCAGCTCAACCTGTATTTCTGACACAAAGGTGAAAAGGGTTGGTGAAACAACCCTTCTTCCCCCATTATGATTTTGCAGTAGTAAATTTTTCTCATGGGAAAATCATCTAGGCAAAAAGGTACATCTGCATGAAAGGACAAATATAAGATAGGGAACTTCCACTTTTTTTATTTTTTTTTAAATGAGACCAGTTATATTTAACTACACTTTTAGCATACTGAATGTCCTGTAACAAACCAAGTTTTGAAAGCATTATAGTTGCTGTTAACAAAGAAAATCCCAACTCTTGTTCTGCTAATAACCACTTTCACAGACTGACTTGACCAAGGAGAGGCTCTGTTTGAGGAAATCAGCAGTAAACCAGGTCACAGTTCAGCTGTCCTAATTCTCCACGGCCCTGTGATAGCTTTATATAGTTTCAAAGGCACAATGTGTAAAAGTGGGAGGGAATGGCTGCCAAAACTGGAGTGCCAGCATTTCTTAACCTACATTTTTTAATTTGCTTATTGTGGTGTCAGTGATTTTGTAAGCAGCAAAGTAACTGGGAGGTGAGCCTTGAGTTTCAGTCTTGCTAATTGGGTGGTGAGTTGTTCTGTTCAGAAATGTGTGTGAGCCTGGCACACGTATCTTCTGCTTTAGGTTTTGGTCAAATTCCTCATGCTGATCACACCTTTTACTTTGAACTTAAAAAATAATACTTCAAATAACTCTTGTGCTTGCATGACTACAGCTATTTGGGCTGTGATGTGATTTATTTATTTATTTATTAACTTGTTAATACAACTTTACCCTCAGTTATGGTGTTTTTAGTGCTGTCATGCCATACACAGAGTCACCACGAGAGGGGAACCTACGACCAGGCTCGGACAAGTGCAAGTAAATTAAGCACATTTTTGGTCCTGGCTGAGGCCGCAAACCCCTTTGGTGCTAAGATAATGACATCCTGACTTCAGCTGTGAACCTGAGCAGCAGAATATCTATTTAAAGGACTTTTCCTGTAGGAAACAATTATTTCAACCCAAAAATAATATTTAAAAGCTTATTTGGTTTTATTTGTTTGTTTGTTTTCAAAATGTAAATGACCAAAAAGGTAACCTTTTAGTGGGATGCACACATTTGAATTATCTCTCTCTACCTTCTATTGTAACTTTTTCAATATACAGACTTCAGGCATGCAATTACAATTTGAGTAGTTCCAAACTGTTCTCATTATACTTCTACTAACATAATAATTGGATCTTGTACTTTGTATATATTTCAAAATCTAACAACTCTTTGATTTAAATAAAATCAAATGTGAAATACTTGTGAGAGCATGCAAAAACAACATGTAAAATAAATGCACCAACCTCATTTCCTTTGCTTCCAGCACTTGTTTTCATTTCTTTGGGTTGCTGTATAAAGCAAAGCAATATTTATGTATCAGAGAAACTATAGGCAGAAGTACATATAAATAACATAATTTATAACCAGGATGTTCTTACTTATAGTAAGATTTTATTTGCAATATACAAATGAAGTCTAATGAAGACTCAGACACTGCACATGGAAAATTCTATTCAGTGAGGAGTCTTCTGATATTTTTAAAGAATTTTTTAGGAAACTAAGTTAATGCAACAAAGGGCGATTGCCAAATGTATCCCACAAAAAAAAATAAAAACCACGCTAAAAACCATTGATCTCAATCTCTTTTTGCAAAACTACACTGATGCACTGCATCTGTGGTTAAGCCCCAAAATTACCACAGGCAAGAGAGTGTTAGTCAGAAAGCAGGAGTCACTGCGCTCTCAGAGAACTTACACAAGCAGTGCTCTAGTCTCTCACGAGGCTAGATTAGCATTAATTTCCGATAGATTTCAAGCATTCAATTCTATCTCCCCTAGAAAATTGTGGTGTGGTTTAGGTTTTTTGTTTGTTTGTTCTGTGTGTTGGGTTTTTCTGCTTGGCTTGTTTTTTTTTTGCTGTTGTTGGTTTGGTGTTTGGGGTTTTTTTAGCCAAACTCAGTTTCTGTGAAGCTTTTTAATTCAGCATGATTACTCTTTTCTTTTCTGATAATTACGTAATTAGGATTTGCTTTCTCATTTCTGTAAAAATATATAGTCTTATTTTATGGAATGAATGAAGTATGGAATGGCATAAAGAAGTTCTAGGAGTAATCTTTTTATACAAATAGAAAGAAAATTACTGTGGCCTTGATAGTAATACAGTTCTTCCTCCAGAGTTTCTAAAGAATCTTTTATTTATCTACACACAACAGTAAAAAAGTGTCAAACCTACCAAATGTCGAAATTCTACTGACAAGCTTCCATTTGCAGACTCATCCATGTTCATGGCTTTCACATGTGTGCCACACAGAACAAATCTACGGTTACTGCAGAGGATATGACAGTTATGTACTCAAATACCATTGTATTGGACAAAATTAATATATGTGATATTTTATTGTCTTACCTTACAGTTGAAACATTCCTAAAAGAGAAGAGGGGTGGGGGAGAGGAAATGGGTTGTGAATCAGTAAATATGTGAGACAGAGGCTGTACTAAGAAGCATATCTGAGATGGTAGATTTTGCTTGCTCAAATTTGGTTTGTATTGACCCTACAACTACAATTTTTAAGCTGAAGAACTGAAATCCATACTGTCCACTTAGACTTTTGCATCTGGCCATAGTGTACTTTATCTTGCTATTTATTATCACATGCTATCACATGGCTTCTGAGAGAAACAGCCCTGGCTTCTCTCTTGCTCTCTCCTCACTGGGTGTTTTCCCTCTTTTTTTGTGGGCCCACATCTATGTCCATGCAGCCAAGGTGGTATTTAGGGTATTTGCAGAAGCACAACAAGCAGAAGGAGGGTGGTAGATGGTACCTAGGGCTGGGGATGTTGCACTGTGAGAGCTCAGAGCTATTTCAAAACTAACTACCTCATAAATGCAATACAGTTTGATTTCAAAGTCTTCTGTAATGCTGCTGTATCAGTCTGATGACTTTTTTTCTAAGTCTTGAAACAAATCTTAAATGGACTTCTTGCCTCTAATTTAAAACCATCAATTAGACTTAGCAGCCTTGTTTTTAAAAAAGAAGTCTTCCATATGAAAAAAGAAGTGTTACTCTGATCTTTTAACTAGTGGGTTTTTAATTTTTTTTTTCCTTTTCCTTTTAAAAGGAGTTTAAAAATCAGATAGGGTAGCCACTGAAAAAACCTGTGTTGTCTCTGTAGGGAGCAACAGAATATCTTCACTGTTAAGTTTCTTACTTGTCAATAGTTGCTTTCACTCTGATCTGGTAGTTCAGCTCTGGCAGTTTAATTAGCAACCTTCAAAACAGAAAATGAGAGAGTGAATATTAACAGAATGTCTCACCAGAAAACACTAGACTGGTTGCTCCAGATTAAAGCATCAGAAATTATTATAAACTGAAAACAGATTAGGCATCTAGGATTACAACACAATTTACAGGGTTATATACTCAAAAAGAGAAGCTGGGCTGTTCCAGTGGTGGGTGCCCTACCCTCCCGCTAAGTGTGTAGAAAAGTTAGCATGTGTTTGAGGGATTGGCTGGAGAGACAGCAAAGTAGTACTAATTAGGAAATGGATTTGTGTAATCTCAGACTGCATCATGGATACACTCTGTGTGCTTTCCTTCATGTACCTCTTCTCACCCCCAGCCCTCCATGAACTTTGTGCTGCAAGGTGGAAATGAAATTACAGTTCTTCTCCAACCTTTGCTCTTTCACAAAGTCAGAGAAGGAGTTTCTGGGACAGAAATAGCTTGTCTGTAATTCACCCAAGACCCCCAAAATGCAGCAGTTTCTCCTCTGTGGAGAAGTGGCTGTGAATATTCTGATTTTGGCTTGTATGATAAGGATCATTATTTACTCAGTTTGTAAAGTCATTAAAACAAGAATTTGATGCATACAGAACCCTAAAGGTTCTGCCTTTTGCCACAATGTGCCTTTCTTCCTCATGTTTTACTCTTTACTGCCACTTGTTCTGTGTGACAGATTCTGTGGACTTCATATCCCCATTCCAGAAAATTTCCCTGCAGTTGAGTGGATCTCTAATGCAGGCTGGTCTGCTTTGCTTTCTAGATTCTCCTAGGATAAAATACTGTACATGAATGAAGGAGTTTATATCAGATTTTTTCCCTTACCTTAATTTAACAGTGAACTGTATTAAAGTTTTGAGAACCATTGGCCTCTGGGGGTGTGTTGGCATGCAGGGCTGCCTTTCAACCACAAAGGAGCTGTGTGAGAAGTGAAACAACAAATAGATTTTTAGGAATATGTATGAACAAACAGATGGAGGGTTTTTGTTGGTGAGGAGGAAAGGAAAGGGGCTGATATAGCTTAAAGACTTATTTCTCTACAGATGCCAAAGTGGGAACTATGTATTCCAGCTCTCAGTTCTCAAACTGATCCAGTGGTCTAACTTTCCCTGAAATTGTTCCCTTGAGAAACAGGTATTTGTAAGAGATTGAAAATCACACCAAATTCTTTAATTCTAAAATACAATGATGATAAAAGTCTTGGTCTTCCAAAATTTTATCAGAGCCATAAAACAGAGTACGAAAATACACTGAGCATAGTTCCAATGAAATTAAATTATAATAATTGAACTATAATTTGTATATATATGTAGAGCAAACTATTGAACCCTCTTTGCTTTCAGAGACTCAGTTGTGGTAGATCTCTAGTATAGCCTGTACAAAAGGCAAGAAAAATTATGCTAATATTTTATCTGCTAATAGAAGTGTGAGTTGGGAGGGCAGCAGGAAGAGTAGCTTGAGGGGGACAGAGGAAAGAAAAGGAATATTTACTTAAAAAAAAAAAAAAAAAAAAAAAAAAAAAAAAAAACATCACAACTTTTCTCAGCAGAATGTAGATAANAAGAGTAGCTTGAGGGGGACAGAGGAAAGAAAAGAAAAAAATACTTAAAAAAAAAAAAAAGGCAAAATCACAAACACAAAACATCACAACTTTTCTCAGCAGAATGTAGATAACTCCTCCTAGAATAAGGGGATTTCTGGCATTCATTTAAGAGTCAGAACTTGATGGCAAACCCTTAAATGCTACCCATGAGAAGCTGCCTGGAACCTTCAGTTTCTGTGAATTCTGATGACAGCTGTACATACTTCTTGTGTTAGGAACCTGGTCCTGAAAATCCTCAGACATTCAAACTTTTTTTCCCTTTTTCTTAACAGTTTGTTCTCGTTGTTGAGGTAAAGTTCTGCACTTGGCAGTGGCTTACGCACTTCCGGAAAAGGTTGTAGAGCAGAAAGTTGACTTTTTCCAGCAGCTGAGGCCTTTGCACAGGAATAGGGTCCCCATCATAAGTCAGCCTGGTCAAGAGTTCATCCAGCTTTTCTAGTTGCCTTCTGACTTGAAAGAGACTCTCTGCCAACAGTGTGAAGCTACAGGAAGACAAAAGGTTAATTTGCAATTTTTCTTGTAAACTGTTTCTTAGAATGCAAGAACTACTGAAGTTCTTGCTTGGGGAAAATCAGAATCTGTATTGAGTGGTGCTTTCCAGCTTTGCCCAAACTCACATCCATTCATCTTTTGTTTACAGGAGCATATAAGTACATTGGGCAAATCACCTGCTTTATCTTCAAAGATAAATATTTTCACAACAATGCAACACTGTCTGTGATAATTTGGAAGAAATATATACCTGGTCCTGATGTTAAACATGCAGGGCACTTGTGCCAAGATAAATTATTTCCTACAACTCAGGAGTTTTGCAAAATGTACTCTTTAAAAGGATAATATTTATATAGAACGAGCAAGTTAACAAGACTAAAGAAGTGTAAAAGCAGTAAGGAAAAAGAAATCCAAACACACTTGATAACAGTTTAATAGGATATGTGCATATAAAATTAGATTTTAAAGCTATTTTTAGCATGTTCCTTGGGGAAAAAAAATACTTCAGTGAAAAGAAAAAAAAACCTACACAGAAAAAAAAAGAAGCAAAAAACCACTTTTTTTTCAGTTCTAAAATTTTCATGGTAATTTTCCTTCCTTTTTAATTCTTTTTACTTCACCTTTGAGAATGAGAATTTGGATGGGAGAGTAATGACCATAATGTGTTGACATTGTCTGGGTACACTATCTTTTAAATATGATGCTATTTTCTTTTTATTTGCAATCACTTCAGAATTGCCATCACAGAGACTACTGCCATTCAATCCCTACACAATATAAAGTCTGGAGGAGTGAGTCAAAGCATAAAGCCTCTACCCAGCTCCTGCCTAGACACAACTCCCACCACCTTCAATGACAAACTCAGTCAGCACCATTTTTACTCAAGCAAAACTCCCAAGAGAGTATGTGTCATTTATCTGGAGGATACAAACCCAAAAATTAGTGACTGCCACGAGTCAGGCTCGCGTTCATTCTGAATAACGAATGTTGCTTTTAGTTAGCACCTTTTAGTTATTTACTCTCTTAGCTGCTGGTGAATTTGCTGCTGTTGCAGCTGATCTAAAGGAATGATCATTTCAAGCGCAGCAGACTTCCTGTGGTTTTCGGTGGAAGCGCGAGGTCAGGGCAGGTTTACCAGTTCTGGAGCTGATCGAGCCCCCCGTGGAGGGGCCCCCCGATGCAGGCGATCTGCTGCCGTCTCTTCCAGTCCAGCAGCTCCTCGGTCAGCATGTTGCTCATCAGCATATCGATCTCATGGATCACACGCCCTATTTTACTGAGCACCTCCTGGAAAATAGGAAAGGTGTCACTCACTGACCACAGGCAACAGCTGCGGGATTCACCAACTATTATGAAGCGCTTACTACATTTTTTTCAATTATTCTGAAAGTAACCATATTTAGTTCCTATTGTTTCAGTGACAGGATTCATCACCCATTGTACATTAATCCTGAATCCCTATGAACTCTTCTTCAGTATTTTTTTTTGGGAGGGTAGGAGGGAAGAGTGTTGCATTCTTTGTGGGCATAATATCCCCAAGATTTTGACATTTGTAAGCTCCGTCAAGTTAAAAAATTCTGATTTTGTTTTGCATCATATAAAATGCATTGTGGTTTTGTTTTGCTTGATTTAATCATAACCCTGCCCTCACGGACCCAAAATGCTTCACTCTTTTAAGGTGTGCAGAACCATATGCTTGACTGAGCTGTTACTTAATTGCCAGTTTCTTAACTTCTAGTCAAAATCACCCAGATCTGCCTAAACATTTTGCAAATTTTGAACTCCTGTGAAATGAGTCTGTTCTTCTAAGATGAAAATCTAGAAAGGCACACATACGCATTTGAGTATTTGGTGTGAGAAAAAGGGGAGAAAGCAGATTAACCACAAATGAGAAAACATTGTCACTAACCTTTCTCTTGTAGTCTAAAGTATTGAGCATTGCCTGCAACGCCAACATTTCCTGTTTAATGAGGGCGCTGTTTTTGTCATTCTGTTCTGCAGGGGACAAAAAAAATCAGTATAAATACATGTTGTGTGTGTGTGCCTGTTTATAAGGGGAGAAGAGGAAAAAAAAAACACTACCAGACTCCAGCAAGAACTAGTGAAAAAATAAACTGTGGACATCAGTAGATTATGTAACAGCATACTTAATATGAAAGGACTACATTTAGTAAAATTTTAACATAAGATTTTATGGATCCTGTCTGTAGATGTGTGTGTGGGGCAGGAAAAGGCAGAAAACATACAGATAATACCTAGAGTTCTCTAAATTTCTCATCCCTGTGCATACTCCTGTGTGTTATGTACATCTGACTCAATGATTGATCTGTACACACAAACAGTTCGTGGTGCCAGCAGTTAGGCTAAAGCTCTTTGGACTTGATGTGAATTACAATGTCTGTCTGAGAGGCATTTGAAACAGATGAAGTGTTCATCACCAGGGGAATTTCAGCAGCCAGGAGCACTGATCACTGGGCATTTCCCACTTTGTCTAATGTTTGTCTGGGTCAGGCAGTAGTTTCAAGAGTCCCCAAGCTCACCCATGCTCTTTCACATGCAGCTCTTTCCCACCCTCACTTTCCCCGACCTTTTGCGTCTTTCATGCTGTATTCAAAGAAGAAATCGGTGTGCCTGCTAAGCTCTGGATGGATGCCTTCCTATTGAGTTAGGGTAAATGTTTCAGTGGAGGCAGAGAAGTAACCAGCACCACCTCAGCCACAGCAATTGCTCCCATACGCCTAAGCTGGCTGTGCTGGAGCAGAGCAGTGAAATTTTAAGCCCTGAGAGTAATTTACTGTCAGCATGTTTTATTTTGCAAGTGGGGCAGCTTTCAGGTATCTGTGTAGTCAGTAATTATGACTGACCTGATGACTAGCAACTCATTGAACCATGGCAACTCTTCCGATTGCTGGGTCATTTCCAGCCTTCAACATTTAGGATTGATGTGCTTAAGGACTTGGATGTTTCAAGCTCAGTATCTTTGCATGTTCAAAGGAAGATAATATAATCATATCTGAGAATATAAAGATATCTGAGCAGTCACAAGCAGAGCCCAGTTTCTTTTCTGAAAGAAATCATGCAAGGACTGTTCCACATGCAGATCTCAGCCATCACAGGCTGGTCAAACATGCATTCAGAGTGCTTACCAGCTGGTTATCACCACTGTGGTCAAAAAAGAACAGAAAACCAAATTAGAGGTGAGAAAAATCAGTTCTGCATGACTCTGGGAAATAAGAGTCTCTTCCACATTCTCCCAAAGAAGGGCTATGTAAAAGGTGAGGACATTGAAAAATAGGTTCTTTAAATTAAGACATATACTACTTTGCATGCCATTATGCAGCTTATCCATAGGAAATAATCTCACTTTCTTAACATGAGACTCTTTACCCTCTTAACTCCAAAAGAGTCATTATGTTCCAGGACTATAACTTTATATAAACCAAAGATCCATTTTTATGTTTACATATATTAAAGTAATGCACAAAACCCCCTGATGCTGGAGTCCAGCTGCAGGATCAGCCATTTCCTAGGAAATCTAGAAATTAGTATAAAAACTCTTACCTAAGCTTTGTATTGTTTTGTACCTGAAGTCAAATTCCTCTTGCAAGTCTTCCAAATATTTCACATCTTGGTCAGTCATCTTTCCCAGGAAAGAAATGAACAAATGCATAATGTAGTGTTTTCCTTCTCACAATTTGAAAACCCCTGAACAGTTCTAAGAACCCTTGTTTTACTATCTTGTAAACTTTATAAAGTATGATTGAATAATAAATGTATAGCTAAAGATGTATTTTACTTGTTTAGAAAGTCAAATATTATCCTCTATCCTGCATTTGGTGGTGGTTGCTTGTTTACTAGTGCAATGACATAGAGGCAAATAAGAATGACTGTATTAGCTTGAGCTAAACTGAAAGTGTTATGCCAATAATGCTACTCTCTTCTTGAAACTTTAAAGCAGGGCAAAGGGATAATTTTACGTTTACTTAAATGGAAATTTAATTGGGGTGTGCAAAGCCAAAAAAGGTGGAGTCAGACACAGGAGTAGAGCTCACAGAATTTATTTACAGAATGTCTTAAGAATTTGGATAAAGAAATGAAACTTTTTTTGCTACTTTGGCATTTTGCAGCTTTCTTTTCATATGTGCTGTAAAAAAATACTAAATATATTTTCTAGTAACCAAACAATGATAATTCAAAACACCCCATCAAAAGAAGGAAAATAAAACTTGGAAATTATCTGTTGTACTTCGAAGGTCTATTTCTGTGCTGTTTATGGGAAGCCTTGATTTTGCCAACTCATAAACAATCCTATTTGGTTTCCTAAGATGAGCACATTAAGAGTCTGTGAAAATACAGAAACTTATTTGCTAAATGAGCCCACATACAATTAGCCATTTTGGCTTACTCTTTCTTTTGGAGACTAAAGTTTTAAATTATATGTGTAAAGTATGAAATTACATGCATGAGGAGCTGGCTAATTTCTGCGTTCAACTTAATTACCTACTAAAAAAACTCAACCCTGCTATCTAGAAAATGTTCTCAATTTCACTGGTCCTTCAGGGGTGGCTGTGCTTCCCCACACAGGCAGGAGGAGGAGGCTGCTGTTTGTCTGCTCTGCAACTCTTATCTTACAACTTTAGAGACCTAGTATTCAATTCTTCTGAAACTACTTTATCCTTCTAACAGTTTGATCTCTCTAACCCTTCTTCTCTGCGAAAGGAGACACTGATGAGAGAATGCTGCTAGGATCTCTTTCCAGTATACCAGAAATGTTGCTCTTGAACAACATATGGACAGATATTTCAAATATAGTTTCTACACTGAGACTGCTGCAAAGCTGAAAGTGGGGCTGGAATAGCAAGAAAGCTATGGGCACTCTGAATCCTTATCCTGCCTTGAACTGCATGGGCAGGTATTCTCTGAGCTTTCAAGGTCTCTGGGACATAGCTACAGGTTTGGCTCACCCAGCTCTGGCTTGCACTGGCATGAGAAACTCCTGGAGAGTGGTTACCATCAGCTGCCAGTGTTCTTGTCCCCTCACGACTCCAAACCACGTAATTATATCACGTAGCCTTCGGCTCAACCAAGGTCTCAATACATGACTCAGAGATGGTGAAGGTTAAGCTGCTGCTGACCCAGCTAAAGGAGGTGAAATTGTAAAATTACATTTTCTGAACCTCGCACCTTTTTAGAGACTGTAGGTATGCTCTTACTGCACTCAGTGGTCTGCCTGCAACTTCCCTAGGGAGGAGTGTGACAGCTGTAAAAGAGGGAGCTCTCACTCTGAACCCAGACAGCTGCTAACACCTAAGGATTCTGGTGTGTCCTGAGCTGTTAGTCTGGGCAGATGTCCTTGGAATAATGGAAAATGTCTGTTGGCAGAAGTTTTTGTGCTACGCAGCTTAAAGGCAGTTCAGGTGTGTCTGTATGAAAATCATGTGGGCAGAGACAGCACACAGGGCAAAAAGGTACCTGAGCACTGTTCTTGATCGCTGATACTTTGTGTTCTACATTTCTTTGACGTTCTGAAACCACAGAGCTCTGCAGAGACTTTTCCAGTGGCCCCTGGAACACATTGAAGAGATAATTGGTGGGTGAGTAATAATAATAATAGGTGATAGAAACTGTACTGCAAGTTCCAGCACAGAGAGGGAATTCCAAAGCCAGTGTTCAACCATCTGCTGTAAACACACAGACAAGTTTAGTTCTAGACATTTGAAAATCTTTAACTTTGAAATCCAAGAGATTAAATGGTGTGGGTGTACTGCAAACATTTAACATCTAATAAATTAAATATAGATTATTAGATTTTTTTAAAAAGATCCATGGCACAAGACTCATATAGGAATACATATTATATCCATAAGTAATTAACAACAACACATTTGTCTTAAAAATTCTCTCTGAGTTTTAATCATGTACCAATTTTCCCAAAATAAGTTTCATATACAATTTGAATTATTTTTTTCTCCAAACAACATAAAAACCATAAATGACTATAAAATATAGGATGGAATGTCTTTTGCATTCCATAGTTAATATGAATTAATGCATTGCATAATTTGAAATACACACATCTGTTTTGCAAAGAATAATCTCTTTAAAACCTTTCCTACAGATTAAAGTCTTTGAAGATTAGCTGTGACATGGAAGTCCCTCATAGCAATGTTTCCAGCAGAAGAACCACTAATGAAGCTCAAATGTGAGTTTAAAGGGCAACATTTGGCAACCCCTAGTGCACACAAATCACTTCAGTGGGATGAGGGGACAGGATTTGGTCTGAAAAGCATGTGACCAGATTAAGTTGGAGCAGATTAATGAAATGTAATTCATTACCTGTACAGGCATGCTGGCTGCAGCCAATATTCTTCTTTCTTCTCTTAAGCAATTTGAGATGATCACTGCTATATGCATGGGATTACCATGATATTTGCCCTGCAAGCACAAGTAAATACAACTCAAAAAAATTCCAGAATTCAGGATGTCCCTCTGGAAATCACAAGCAACATGATGTATGAGTGTCTATGAATGTGCAGATTGGTGTGGGTGGAAAAGACTCCCCCTTTCTTATGCTAGTTCAGCCTTTCAGGGCAGCATCAGTCACTGCCACCGTCATAAAATATTCTTAATAATGTTCCACAGAGATTATAAAGATACATTTCCGAGATGTGTATAATTTGGAGATCGAATTGCTCCCCTGCTAACACAGCTGTTTTGAAAGGGCTTTCCTGTCAGCCTATTCTGGGCACGATTTTATC